TAAAAAACCGAAACGTTTGTAAATAAGATTTAATACATTTATTTACGGCATAACATCCTGCTTAACGGTTCCAATAGCCCTTATCACAATTATAATTATTGTTAAATTTATATATTCTTTCAACCTGTCTATAAGCGGTGTTACAGCAATTACCGAACATCCTATATATAAAAAAGAGCATCTGTCTTTATAAAATTTATAAAACAACTTAAAATTACAATTTCTGATCAAATCATAAGAAAAATTGTTATCTTTATTAGTATTTCTATTATAAAACACACATCAACAATTGAAATGTTGTGGTAACATTTATTTTCGTACTAATGGTATAATAACAATAGTATTTCTTGCTTCCGGTATTCGCCACCAATTACCATTTTTATGTTCTTTACCTACACCTGCAATGAGGTGATTTCCATCGGGTGTAAAAGTAAGCGCATTTATAAAACCTGTTAGCTTAACTTCAAACAACAGATTTAAAGATCTAAAGTTTTCTCCGCATTGCCATAATTTAACGACCCCGTTGTGCGATCCTAGAAATAATATGAAAACAATATAAAAGAGTAAATATAAACTCAAAACAATAACATACCTGACGCCACTAGATCTGTATTCAACAATGTCGCGATGCTCGAAATCCACATTGGTTGATCATTGATTTCATTTTTTCCATGCGCCTGTGACACCGTGCACAATGGCTTTTTTTTCAAACATCCCCAAACGCAAAGCTGTCCGTCTTGCCCGCTACTAAAGAAATTTTCTTCATTGATAAGCTTAACCGCATCAATACTATAACCGAGAGTATGTCCGTTAAATATTAATTGCGACTCTTCAACTATCTTCCATATCCTAATACTGCCGTCGTAACCACCGCTCGTGATAGCGCGTTCTCGCGAAAGAGTATCGATTGACGTGATTGGGCTCTGATGTCCGAACCTAATAAGAACGTGATTAAAAACAATTGATGTGCTGTTAGATTAGCAAGTAAACTTACAAAGATTCAACGTAAGCCATGTCGTTTAGATTCCACACTTTTACGCTTCTATCTTCAGATGCAGAATACAATGTGTAAGTATCTTTCCGGAATATTAAACCGGATATAACGTCCCTATGACCTTGCAAATTTTTTATATGATCAAGAGTATTGCCACAAAGTACTTTTATATCTTTACTCCCATTATCTCCTACTACCTGCCATAAGAAAAATGTATTTTTAATATTTTGGTCATATAAAAAAAAACTTTTTATTCTCTAAACACACCAGAAATTTTCCGTCTGTACTAATTGCCAAACACCGAATAAATTTGAATTCATCTTTTGACTGCCCTTTCTTTTTTCCGTTCCTGTTTCCTTTAACAACTTTTAACTTGATCTTTTCTTTGACTGACCCTAACAAAAAATAGCCAATTATTTTAACAATATTTAACTGATATTTAACTTTTACAGTTTTTTAAATCTATATTAACTTATTGAAAATTTTACATTTTATCTTACATTTAACTAAACTACCATCTTTAGATCCTGAATACAGTATACTGCCATCACTAGAAAGGCAAATGCAAGTAATAGAAGATTTATGCTCTTTGCATTTCAATATAATAAGATTGTTGTGACCAATAAAATTAGCAGCAATAGTTTTTCTTAATCGGCCTTTTTCTTCTAAATATTCTTCTTGTAACCTCCGTGAAACTGCATTCTCTTCAAACTCGGCTTTATCTTTTTCTGTTATATTAAAGATTTTTATGTAATAGTTGCATAAACAGGTTTTTATTATGAACTTTTTGGAATATATTAATTATATGTAAAAATGTTATATATTATATTACATATTATACCTTTTTCTTCGATTTCTTGAAGATATTTTTTTGCAAGCCTTAAACGTTTTTCTTGTATAGTTTCTTCTTCTTCTTCAGTTCCACTATTGTATTTTTGCCTTTCATTTCTGTAAAATACAATCTCATATATAGTTTCATAAATATGTATAGTCTCATATATAATTTCATATTTTCATTATATTACAATTTTAAAATTACATTTTATTATTTTCTTACTTTAGATTTTCCTCAGCAAAAAATTCTTCATCTGTACTAGCAATACTTTCATTGTCATTAGGTAAAAACCTCTTTGCTTTTCTTGATTTCTTTACTAAAGATTGAGTTATGGATGTCTTGATAAGATGGCCATTAAGCTAAATACAGATATAAAAAAATAATTACAATATAATAATGCATACAATTTTAAATTTAGTTCAGACTGAAACACATATGTATAAAGGAATTATATTCTACATTATTCTACATTATACCATGTTCCACACAATTTACCGTCAGTACTACAAATTATCATATATTCACATACACTTAAACACTTTTAATACTAAAAGTACATTCCGGAACACAGTCTGTGTTTTTTAGCTTAGTTTTAGCTTAGTTTTTACACGAAATATAAAACAATTTTTTCTCTTTTAAAAATAAACTAAAACTTACTTTGCGTTTCCGTGGTTCATTACTTCGCTTATTACTTCTTATAAAAAATGACATTTTTAAAAGAAAAACCAATTACAAAAATAACTTTTAGAAAGAAGCAACTCTCTTCGCTGTCATCCACGTGTAATACACAATACGAGGCACACTATAAAGTATAGACATAAGTTTAGGGGTTAGGGTGCACTTGTGACTCGCGGGCTATAAAGGCAGCCCATACGCCATTCTACGATCATACAGCAGTGTTCACAGTTTTAGCTTCCTTACAGGATGCTACAGCAAGTGGAGGGGATACGCACACAGGCGAGCAGCCGTGTACCATATATGTAATACTCCTATATTGCTAGCATGAAGTAAGAGTAAGGAGATCGAACTCCGTGATATATAACAGGGATGCCAGTTTCAAGACTTTTGCAGCATGCCACAGCAAGTGGAGGGGATGCGCACACAGGCGAACAGCCGTGTCCGTGTGCGCTCGGCGCTTCGGCCAACTTCGAGCAGTAGACGGAGACGGATATATATAAC